CGAGTCCGGATGAAAATCTGGACGTTGTTACTAATCGCTGCTTCACGAAAGTTGCTAATGGATTCAAGGGTCACACTCTTACTTTATCTATCCAAGTACTTATCCCTCGACTCGACCTTGATATGAATATTAAGTTCGACGTTATGCGACATGATTATATAATTAATGAGAAAATATATTAAGAAGACACTTTTGATTTTCTCCTTACTAGTTTCTTTTTTTTTTTTCTTGTTACATCTTCTGTAATATTCATTAATAGCGTTTAGAAGTTTAGGAAGAACATTTTATAATCTAGATATACATATGTATGTCTTACGATCGATCACTTAATTAATTAATTTTTCTTTCTTTTTACAAATGACAAAATATGAATCGTATTAAAAAGAAAGAAAAAATATATTTCTATTTTACAATGATACATTAGATTTCGCATATTAACAGAAGTATGTATTTTAAACTATTCTAAAACAACTTGGTTTGGTTTCTATTGTCTAACAAAATGTCAGTCGAAACGTAACTTGGGGTTGGTCAGTTTGGGCTGGTTGCCAAGTCAAGTTTCTCTTACCAATCGGTGCAGTCCACTGGCAGTATTGTGTTGGTCGTTTACTACACTTGGTGTCTCGTTTCACCCTACGATTTTTTTTCTCTCTCCTTTTCTCTCTCTCTCTCTCTCTCTTTCTCTCTTTTTCTTAGTTTCCCCCTTACCCCAAAAGTATCACCAGTTTTGTTGAAGTATCGTTAGCATCGTCACATCGACGGCACGTTCGACCCATACCCTTAGGCTTACTTTCTCGAAACCATCCCTCGTATTACACGCCCTCTTGGGACGAAATACAAAAGCTTTTGTCTTCTTCTTCGTCTTCTTCTTCCTCTTACTCTTAAGATTTCTACTTGCTTCTATTACACGTCGTTTTTATCAAACGAATTCAGTTCGTAAAGAGAGAAATAGAAATATAGATAGAGATAGAGACACACTCTCTTTCTCTCTATATCTTTATCTATCTATATATCTATCTCTATTTCTCTTTTTCTCATTGATATTTTCTGAGTAGAAGTAAGGTTCACTTGATATAAGTTTTCAAATAATATATTCTTCAGAAAATAATTTTAATATTAATAAATTTTCGTTTATCTCGATTTAGTATAAAAATAATATAAATAAAAAGATAAAAGAAAAAGAATTGAAAAAATGTGAAGTCTTTCATATACAAATCGATAATCAAACGTCAAACGTAGAATTCGGTTCATAGAAATACTTATTCCATAATATATATACATATATATATATATATATATTTATATATATATAGGAGAAAAAGAAGGGTGTAGTCGTGTCTATTCGTCGATTCTTATGCAGATCATCAGAAATAGGAAGACCTGAATTTTCGAGACGGAGTTTGAAAGAGGAACGATCAAATTTTCTAGGGATTCTTTGCCTGTCTAAAAGTTGGTTCTCGCTCTAGCTCTGTTGAAAGGGATCATAGTTATTCGATGGTGGAACGAACATAAAGAAGTTATCACCGAGTCCAGTACGAAGTCCATTCGATCGATAGATTTACTAGATACGATCTAAAAAAGCGTTGTTATCAAGATATTCGACTGTTTTGATTTATAAAAAAAATAAAAAAAAAAAAAAAAAACAAAAAAAAAAAAGAGAAGCATGAAAAACACTTATCTTTCTTACATATGTATTGTATATTATATATATATCTTTCTTTTTTCTTACCTAATATTCTCCAAAGTTAATGACAATCAACTTGCTTGGGGTTTTGTTTGTCACGGGATCGATAATAGTAGCAATGTAAACCGAATGTTCGAATCGCTTAAATTATTTTCAGAACTGTTGGATAATTAAGGAAGTTTTGCTTGAAAACAATTAGTACTGACTCGAGGCTAGCTTACTCGAGACTCACGACTTTACTTTGCAAAGTTGATGTTAGGAACAAGAAGAGTCACTGTTCCAAATACTGTTTCTCTATCTCGTCTATTCTATTTCTCTTTTTCTTCATTGGAAAATTAGTTACGAGATTGGTACTATGGACAATAAATTTAAACGAAAACGATCGACAATTTAAAAATTTTCTTCTTTTATATTTTATTCGATATTATAATATCAAGCGTTATCATCTTTATCATCGAAAATATTTTATAATATTCTATTTTATTGTCTAATACTTGGACGTTTTAACGTCAAAAACATTGTTTCGTTCTTGTTTCGAAATCGAAACTTTGACATTTCTCCATTGGATATTCAAATGATATCATTCGAAACATCGAAAGCACTTGCGCATATTGATAATACTATGTGCTGTTAGTACCACGTAAGGTGAACGTGAGAAACGTCAAAGCCAGAAGAGACTTTCTATCCTATCAAATTTACTTCTGACCAGAATACTATATATTCCTATACACACACACACACATATATATATATATATATATATATATATATATATATATATTATATATTTAGAACCTTACAATTTTATTTTGCATAGGACACGTATTTTCTTTTTTTTTTTTTTTTTTATTTCTTGGAAAACATATTTATTCGTTAACATCAATCAGAAATAAAAAAGATTTCTAATAAAACATTTTTAAGGAACAAAGTAAACAATAGGATATTCATATTTATGGCATTTGAATGTCTACGAAAGATAAACGTCCATAATAATAGTGCACGTTATGTTGAACGAAATGTATGTATGTAGGTTGAGGTACAATATATGTAGTTTAATAGAGTCGTTCGATAAAATATAGTGCGACGTCGTTTTCGTTAAGAAAATTCTCAGATTTATATTCTCATAATATATATATATATATATATAGTGAAATATAGATCAGTATATAATACTTAATATGTGGTACTACGATACGACGACATTGGGATTGAGAGATCATGGCTTTTTTTCTTTCTCTCTCTCTCTTTTTTCGTTGACGTTAAAAAAAGATTCTTTTGACAGTGATATCAACGAAAGCTTGAGAGATTTATTATTTTCCCATTTTTCTTTCATCCCCTTGTCAACCCCCGAAAACGTCCATTATCTGTTTCAATTAGAGTTGGATTATATATACTTGTGAGTTAAGTTAAATATTATTTTATAAAATTTTCTTCGTCGAATGATAAATATCCATTTAGATCGTTCATCTCAAATACGTTTCTATATTTTTATCAGACATATGTTATTTCATCCAATGATTATTTTTAACAGGAAAGGAGAATGAAGGAAAAGAAAAAAAAGAAAAAGAAGGTACTCTTCTTCTTTAAATATATAGATACATACAAATGTATATATATACATATATATATATTCAAAATAAAAATTCAACTTTCTTATTCCTCTTTCTCCTTTGGTCCCTTGAGGTTTTCGATATTCCAAAATATCGTGATAGCTTTGAATCACGCTTACTATCATCGAAATAAATCCTGATCTTGAAATTCTTTTTTTCCCCCTTGGTATAAAATACAATACACAAGTTTCTTTTTATCCCTTAGATTTTCCAACGATGATAGAAATAGTAGTGTATAGGTATAAAATCTGTATGTCGATTCGAGATTCGTGAATCTTTAGAAGGTGTAAGGCTTAGAAGAAATTCTAAATAGGTCTCTTGTGAATAGAAATCATAGTTTTTACTTATATTTCTTCCTTTCTTCTTATCGTGGATAAGAGAGAGAGAGAGAGAGAGAGAGAGAGAAAGGGATAGAAAAAAAAAGAAAATAGAAAAAAGAAAAGAAAATCCCCTTTAAACAAATCAATAAAAAAAAATTGAAAGAAAAAAAAAATCTGAAAGGAATATTTCGTTCGAAAGATTGAAAATCAAATAAATCGAAATAAATAAATAAATAAAGTATGAAATTTAAAAATGTTTGATATGACTGACGGATCGATAAAAAGGAGAAAAAAAAGTGTTAGGCCAAGCATCAGAGGGCCTATCTTTATCCTTTTGCATTTCTCTAACGATTTTCAAGAGAAAAATAATATGAAAAGAAAGACAATAATAATAATAATAATAATAATAATAATAATAATAATAATAATAATAATAATAAAAGAACAGAATAAAGTAGATGAATGCATACATCGGGTATTCTCGACTTTAGTTGAACTATGCAAATAGATAAAAGTGCATTCATGGTCATATTATTAAATTCTTATCGTTACGCTTGAACGATTCAAAGCTCATCGGTATCCATCTCTCTCTTTCTCTTTCTCTTCCTCTTTTTCTTTTTTTTTTTTTTTTTTCTTGAAAATGTAGATAGAAAGAAGAAGAATGGTTGACAGTATGCTAAAAGGAAAGAAAGAGTGAGAGAGAAAGAGAGGAAATCTGGTATCGTCTATCTCTTTCTGACTTACTATGTATTTTTCCCATACGTTTCTACTCTTTCTCTGCGTTTCCTTCCAAATATCGCGAAACTCTGTACCTTCTTCGAGATCTTTCTTTCTTTTTCATTCTATCTCTGGTTCTCTCTCTCTTTCTCTCTCTCTCTCTCTCTCTTTCTTTCTCTCTTTCTCTCTCTCTCTCTCTCTCTCTCTCTTTCTCTTTCTCTCTATTCTTTTCTTCAAGCTTTCCTCAAACGACAGCGTCACGGAGTTATTGCCGACGTTTTTATTGCACAAGTTATTGCGTATATCAGGACCTTACTTCGGCGGCCAACAAAAATTTCTCTTGTTATTTTTGAAGAAAAAGAAACATAGGTAGACGTAGAGAATAGCTAGATCTTTCTCAAAATATATTTTGAATATCAGAGAGATAGATAGATAGATAGAGAGAGAGAGAGAGAGAGAGAAAGAAAGAGATGAATTTTTTTAAGTTTCTTCTATCCTTGAAAAAAAAATATTTGAAATTTTTTGTAATATGAAATAAAATGAAATATGCATATATATATATATATATATATATATATATATATATATATATTTATAGATTATAAATTATGCATATACAGTATCTACTTTTAATTAATTTAATATATCATTGTTTCATATTTGTTCTTTCAGGTTCCCATCAGCGTATATCAAATTTTTCCCAGTAGATTCATCTCAATAAAGATCATCGATCAAAATTGACTTTAATGTAAGTAATGTAAATTTTTAAATGTAATTTATTCTTTTTTCTTTTCTTTTTTTTTCTTTCTTTCTTTTTTTTTTTTTTTTTTTTTTTTTTAGAAATATCGAATAGAGTTTCTGTTTAAGAGCTTATACCTTACTTAACCTGTAACAGATACAATTTTTGATAGATCGTATCCAATAGATCGATCACAGCTCGGTGGTAAAGATCCTTTATCATCGGAAGAAACAAAGGGATTCGACCTCGATCGGAAAAGTAAATCGAAGCGTGAATCGTACGCTTCGTGGAGCGTAATAAATCGCTTACTCTTTAGTGAACGTGGCCTAGTCCTCGTATATGTCTTCTTTTTTCTATTTTATTCTTTTTTTATACTCTCTTTCTCTCTCTCTCTCTCTCTCTCTCTTTTTTCTTCTTTCTTTTTTCTATTCTTTTTTTTTTCTTTTCTTTTCCCATTTTACCGATATCTTGAAAGCAAACATTTTCACTTCCTTTTTCTTTCTTTCTTCTTCCTTTTTTTTTGTTCTTTTTTTTTTTTGTTTTTTTGAAACGATCTCAATCCTTTTCAAGAACTATTTATTTCGAAATTACTTTTTCTTTTTCTTTTTCTTTTTCATTTTCTTTTCCTTCTATAAACGCGAGCTTGTCAACTGATTTGAATTCGAATCGTCGTGAGTTTGTTTAGTAAAAATTTTCGATTTGTCTTTCCCATCGGGGATATGGTAGGGAGATTTTTAAGCTTGTTCTATTTTTCTCTCGGATATATCTTTTCTCTCGGAATTCTTCCTTCCGAGAGACGGGATATATAGATCGTATGGAGTATGTATTGTTAGTTTGAAGGAGAGAAAAGAATTCGATTTGAATAGGCATATAATAAGTACTTGAAACTGATGTCGATAAGGGCTTTTTTTCGACAGCCGACAAGAATAGTATTGATATTCTCTTCTGCGATGAGCATTCCGTTTTTTCCCCTTCAAATAGATCCTTCCATTATTTTTCTTTCTTTTGAAATTTTCCTTCTTTTATATCGACAGATATAGTACTCTCACATACACATGACTATACTCTTCATTCATCGTTCATTTTTTTATTTATCGTATGTACGTATCTACATGTACATGTGTATATATATATATATATATTATGTATAAGCAAGTACATATATTATTCCATAAAAAGCTGATTAATTAGTTTCTTTGAAACTATGATGTTCAAACCAAAATCACCAGACTTTTTCCGGACATTTGAATTTTATCAGACAAAAACATAACATTAAAGTTTCCCCATTTAATTAATTTCACAAAGAAAAATGATTAATATAATAAGAATAATAATAATAATAATAATAATAGTAGATTTTATTTAACACAGAGAAATTAAAATCGCATGAAATAATTTTGTTAATTCGAGACCCCGGATAAATTTGATTTGGAATAATATATAATACGATATATAATGATAAAATTTAAATTAACGTCCTGTCAAACGAAATCATTTAAAGAGAAAGAGACGGAAAACGGGAGATTTGTAGGAAGCCGATAATCCTCTTTATGATTCACAAGGGAATATTAGAGGGTTAGATGAAGCAGGGTTATAGGTGCATAGGTCGTAAAAGGGTTTCGAGTCACAGGCAGGAAGACGCAACCCAGACGCTCATTACTCTTCCTTCGAGTCACGTTAGAATATTTGAATATGCTCGGCTTATCGTCGAGTTTTCCTTCCTCTCTCCTCCTCCTTTCTTTTTCTTCTCTTCTTCTTCTTCTTCTTCTTCTTTCTTAGTGATAGGTGGGAGGAGTAAAGAGAACAACTCGTAGAGAAGGTGTAAAGGGTAGACAGATTTATGACAAACGATTTGTCTAAGAAAAGTTCTTCCTCCTTTTGTTCTTTTCGTCTTTATCTCTCTCTCTCTTTCTTTGTGTCTAACATTCTTCATCATTTTTCCACATATCCATTTTCTTTTCTTTTTATTTCTCTTTAAACGATGAGTAATCATAATAACGATGAGTATTTTGATGTAATCGAATAAAAATTACAACTCTATCTCGAAATCTTTTCTTTTTTTTTATAATTAAAAATATCTTCGAATTTCATTAAGTAAAATTTTTCGACTCGAGAATTAATCGATCATTAAACTCTTTAACTCAATATATATATATATATATATTTATGTATATAATGAATAAATTGTAAACAAGGGTTTGGTGCATTTATCACGCGTTAAGTTTCTAATGGCTTATCTCTGACGTTGCTTCGAACTTCGTCTGTATTGTTTCGTGAGCAGTAATCCGTAGGTAAACACAGATCAGGTTGTCCAGGAAATTGTGCTTCGCTCAACAGACAGGTGTTTCCTGTTCGTACTCCTTGTATCTCTCTAGTGACCGTCTAATCTCATTGACTTAGTCTACCTACACACACATATATATATATTTAATTAATTTTAATTCAATTTAACTTAAGTTAACTGTGACATGATCTTTTTTTCTCTGAATGAAATTTAATCATTGAATTGAAATGTATTCTCTTTTTTCCTTTCTTTAGGAAAGGTAAATTTTTTTTTCTTTTTTTTTTTTTTTTTGTTTAGAAATCTTTTTCATCTTTGATTACTATCGAGGAAAATAAAATAAAATTATTATATGTATAATAAATTTTATCTTGGGACAAATTTCGAGATTATCGAACGATTATAGGGACGATGATGATAAACGAAGGGAAATACGAGGGAGTATCTCATTATAATTCTAACGATATGCGAAGACGGTGCTAAGCGATTCTAATTAAGTGGAATCGAGCGTAGGAAGGTACATCATTACCGTACCTTAAATTAAATGCTTTCTAACAACGGATCTCTCTATCCGATGGTATGATATTAGGAAGAGAGAGAGAGATAAAGATGGGAAAATAATACTTTTAGGAAGAACATTTGCAAATGTATAATACGAATGGTTACATTCTAATCACGGTTCTCTGTTGTCTCGTTTATACGGGCTTAATTATTCATGTATCTATTATTTCCGTACATGCGCGTGCAAATTTTCACGTGTATTAGACGCGATTGCTAATGACGATTGTACGTTTTAGCTGTAGGTGTATCTATAATACGGCCAATCAAGATGAAAGTGCATATTATGTATAATATTGTTCAGAATTAACTGACTATGATTCATTCGGTGTAATTACTTATCTATAGAAAATCTATCTTGTAAATTTTGTTAGTTGATCATTTTGGAAGGGGTGGTTTGATTAGGTGAAGATTTAGAAAAAAAAAAGAAAAATAATAATAATAGTAATAATAATAATAATAAAAATAAACAAAGCAAGAAATTCTTAATTAAAGAAATAACCATAAAGGTCCAATCAAATTGAAGTTTACCAAAAGTAATTTTATTTTATTAAGACATTTGTGAAGTTCGAACTATGTTTCAAACAACTACGATGAAATTCCTTAATGTGGATGAAAGCTTCCACGTTAACGTGACCAAAACTATGTACGTTATTTAGATCGAGAAAATTCGATTTTCTCTTAGTTAGCAATAGATTCAATGAAATTCTTGTGGGTGTCTCCATTAACCCTTATGATCTTGGGGGAAAAGTAAGTAATATTAACGGAAAATTTCCTACCACGGAACGTTAACGGGAAAATCGTTAACGTTTAAAACGAACAAATTCCATTCAAAGCGTATCCTTCTTCACACGTGTTCACGGTACAAAGGATTCCCATTCACAGTTAACAATGAGTATGCCATTATCATTGAGTTCGCTAGATTTAATTTCCCGATAAACCGTGCATGTATGTATGCATGTACGTACATTCGTACATACGTAAGTATAGAAGGGCAATTCGATGAGAGAGAGAGAGGGAGGAAATGTCGTGGGGTCCTCGCGTTATGTTGAAGATTATCGTAGCTCAAATATTTCCGATAAGTCGGTCGCATTCCCTAGCACCCTTTGTGCATGGCTAAGTAGCTATAATTCAGCCTACGAGCTACATCAGTCGGCAATATCCAAGGTAATAAATTAAATCAAAGAAGATAATCCAGATGAGTCTCTCTCCTCGGTGTCTCTCTGTTCTATGGGGATATCTATAAGGCCTTGGTCCGTAGCCAATGTCATAATGGAAGCCTGTAGTATCATCTAGGCAGAGTAACACCTATGAGTAATCTGCTTTATACGAGATCTCCTTTCAGAGACTGCATCTCGATCCCTTTGTCCTATTCTGCTCTCACCCTCTCTCTCCCCCCCTCCCTCTCTCTCTCTCTCTCTCTTTCTTTTTCTACGTAGTCGCTTGTATCGATTTCCCTACCTACGAGTTTCTCTTTCTCTCTTACTCTCATTTGTTCAGGTTCATACAATTTGGCATCTCTCTCCAGCAGAATCTCGTGTTTTCTCGTACACCTGCTCTTTCTCTATTTATCTCTCTCTCTCTCTCTCTCTCTCTCTCTCTCTTTTTCAACATCGACACGCGTTTACAGTTGAATTTCCATGTACACACCGTATGAAGGATTTTAACCTAACTCTAAAATCTCCGTCGTTGTTTCACACGACTAAAGAGAATACATTACGTAGGCATCAAGCATGTGCGAGGGTAGGGATACGTTTTAGGGAAAGCTGGAGTAACACTGATTAGGAAAATTTACGGAAAATGCTTTCAGTCAAAACTAATTAAACCCGGGTAATCCTCTACGGTCCGGATTTGAGGATACGATCCTCTACGTAGTTTCACTGTTTTAGTTCAGAGCCTTATTGTTAAAAAAAACATTTCTCATTTTATTTCGATATTGAAACGACGTATTAATTCGATCATTTATATACGATTAGAATTTTTCATTGACTTATGAAAATGGGAATTAGAATCGATCGAGTTAGAATAATAGTATAAAATAATATTTGTAGGAAATGAAAAAGAGAAAGAAAAAATGTAAATAAATAAATAAATAAAAGGAAGAGAAAAGAAAAAAATTGGATACAGATCACAATAGCAAAAATAATTGAAGCTTTAAAAAGCTTTAATA